GGAATTAATTCACTGCCGTTCTCTTCAGGAAAAATGAACCCCCAAAGTTGAATACTATCTAATGGTCCATATTTTGAGGAACCTGCCATGCACATGTACCGACATTTGTATTGTAAATTCCCTGTCACAATTTTCAAAGGGCTCAGTGCTGTGATCGAATGTCCTGTCAAGTACTTACATTGATATGGAAGGTTGCATTTACGTGCACTGTGGCAGCATCTTAGCAGATGTCCCTACATCCTGTGCTGTTGCTAAGATACCGGCACTCTTGCCGGTGCATGAAGTCTCTGTTAACTGTGTGTGTGTGCCTATTCAATTTAAAATGGGGGAGTTGCATCTCGATGTTCGAAGTCCATCTTCAAGAAGCAAGAGAGGACCTCCCACCGTACAGCATCCCGTTTCACCATCAATTGAATAATCCATTTCAGGGGGAAGTCAAACAATACAGACATATAAATGCGGTCGTTGAGCATATAAACGTGTGTCGAGTGTTTCCGGTCAAATAATAAGACGCAAACAATTTAAGGACTATTTTACCGTAAAGAGGAAATCATTTTGTACTAGTAAATTGGATTTTTTTTTATTGCCGCTGTGGCAAGACAAGGTTTTGACCAGACAAGGTTGGTTTATGTACATGTACCGTACCTGCACATGTTGAGGGATTTTGTTTGAAAGGAGACTAATTGATGTATCTCGTAGTGTAGATACTGTTTTGCTTTGGGTGTGATATTGAATATAAACAGTGTATAGGAAAAGGTCCAATAAAAGTAACAATATGTCTAATCCTTCAGCAGTCTGCACATTTGTGACAATCTTGTGTATTGCTATCAGTATCCATAGATACACCTGTTTGTATCTGTATGAGGATAATAATGTATCTTATTGATCTTTCTGGACTTTGTATCTTTTTATGCAGTGCATTTTGTAAAATATTGCGCCATTGCAATTTGCATTTTTGAAAACATTTGTCTCATTTGGGTACACCTCCCAGGATACATGAAGTTATTCTCATTAATGAAAAATACCTACATTTTTATTTGTGTACTATTGCTATTTGCTGTGTTCAGTGTAGATGTGCTGGTCAAAGAATTGTTGCAAGATTCAGTCGTATTTATATTTTTCTCCTTTTCTCCCTCCCATTCCACCTTCCTTTCCCCTCTCTCTGTGTTTGTGCTTCTTTTTTCCCCTCTTCTCTCATACTCGTTTTTATTGATCTATCTTCTCGTTCATTTCCTGGCTGCTCATGTCCCTTAAAACTTTATTTCCCCTGTGCCTTTGTGTTCCGTTTCTCTCTCTCTCACTCTCTCCTCGTCTCGCTCCCGCCCTCCCGCAACCAGGTTCTAATTGTTTTCATCATTAGCGTGGCGTCTTTTGTAGTGTACCTGCTGCAGGTCAGCCAGTAAGTGTGGCCTCGGACTGGCGTGGGTTCATTTTCCGTCCCCAACTCCCTTCACGCAAAGCCCCGCAACCTGACACCGGGAAATGCGGGATGGTCGATGTACCCACGCTGTCCTATATGTTTGCCGTGTTTCTGTAATTTTATTTCTCCTCCACCCCCCCCTTTTTTTCTTTTGCATTTTTGGTTGAAGTGTGCTTGTGGTGTTTGGGCTGCATGAGGAAGTTTTGTCAATACTATTGATTCTTAACTACACGAGCACTTTTAATATGAGGCGATTTTTCTTTACGTCATGGCAGACGTTCCCATGCCTGTATGTTAAAACTGATCTGCACTTGGGAAAAGAAAGGCAGCTCAATCCATTTGTTAGGTGTTTCACTGAATTGGTTGCCAACGTTGGTACACTATCTACAAGTAGAAATCACAACTCCATACATTGTGTGTTCTCACTTTTTTCAAGAAAGTCCATATGGTTCCAAGTGCTACGGCACTTCGCAGTTAAAACGGAAAGCAAATTTGGAGTTGAAGTGAAGTGAACTAATGCATTTATATACTCTCAGAAATTGAAATGCACCTTGAGCCTTTCCTTTGTCTGAAATGGACGTCATTCTTAAGGGGATCCCTTTTTTTGGGGGGGGGAGTCAGAAATGATTTTGGTACAGATTTCCAATTTGCATACCACATGTTAGAACAGCCCAGAGGAAGATGGAGGAATAAATGAGGTTTGCCTCTCGTGCTTTTGTGTTGCCAGATATTGACTCTGTCAGCTTTGTTTTGGTTTGTTTTGTTTTGAAAAGAAATAAGCATGTGCATGACAGCGATCCGTGGTGGTACTAACACAAACATGTTTTATATTGGACGTTATTGATTTTTGAGACTTCTACAGATCAAACTCTTTATATTTTCAAATGATTTGCTGTGCCTAACACTGATTGACAGAGACAGGACAAGGACAGTTACCTGGTTTACTGACTTACAATGTACGTTTGTTAAGGTGACATAAAATGACAGTTTCGGGGGGAGGGGGGGAGTGATGCTCTTGGACAACATTTCATGACAGATGGAGATGACCGATTGTAAGACAGATACCTGAGACATGATATAATGACAGCTGGATCTGTGAACTTCGAAGATGACAGCTGAAATGATGTAAATGAAGATGATGAAAGTGAAGATCAGAGAATTTAACCAAGAGATGTTAGTTTTGAGAGAAGGCCAATTAATACCTGTTAGTGACAGTTCTGGTGGGAGAGGAGTACATGTACGTGTAGCTGTACAGACATGTAGTGCAAGGTTGCTTCAGTTGTCAATTATGCATGCATTCAGAGCTACTCAACAATGATCTTGGCAACGCCTGACACCTTCCAAAAGCCTGCTGTATAGACAAACAAGTTCATGTGACGGACAAAATGAGCTGATCTTTAAGTTTTACAAGGAAATGTCCTGAGAAGAGAGTTGGCGGCATTTTCTAGAAGAATTGCCCTCCTGAGAAGAGATTTGAGTCTCGCAAGCGTGAGTGTTGAAGGATTCATTCTGGGAGACAGTTTGACGGTCAGAGCCCTCGGCTAGATGTTGTACCAAGAGAAAAATGAGAGGCAGAAGAGGAGAGTGAGTGCCTGTAATGAATGAATGTGCCGGGATAAAATTTGATCAAGGGTTTGACATACTCGCACATGTTAGCTTGAAAAAAAAATTGACGTGATATAAGAGGTGTAAACAGACAGTCACCGTGTGTTTTCGTTTGTTGATTTTTTCCCCTTTGAGACAAAGGTATGTGTTAGTATGCTGAGTTATTGAGCTGGCGTATGCATAACAGCTCCAGAGATTCACAGATACGCAGTTCTGCAGAGGTTACCAACAACAGCTTGTTGTCACGGCAGCAGTCTTGATCAATACAGAGTGTGCCCGGTGATTGATGAAGGACTGTGCAGCCCTACAAGGGCTGGGAACTGGGCAGTGCTTTCTTCCTTGGAAACCAACAGATGCGAGGAAGACACAGCTTTCCCCTTGCAACTAAGAAAGTTATGTCCCCCTAGCTCTGCCGATCACACGGATCAATGTGGTCTCGTCCTCGGTGCGAATAACCACCAGGCAGGTGTCCAGGATTCGAAACGCCCAAAGTGCAGAGACGCTTGCCGTGTTGATCACTGAGGCGTCGGTAATGCGTCTTAGTCCGTGGTTTTTAAATTGACATTGAGACGTCAGGATGTGGATTTCACTGGATTTAATTTGGAGTAGGTGTTATTATTAGGTTATGCTTGCAGATTATGCAGTGATGCGATTTCATGTTGTCCCAGGTGTGTGGTGATTAAAGTATCGCATGCATGGTCTAAGATTGCTTGTACTTTTTTCCTTCTCTCAAGAATGGACTTAAGCAGTGCGTCACGAAACAACTTATTGAAAGTCACTGAAGACAGTGTGACCCGTCATTTCCCGAGGGTGACGGTACATAAATAAATTGTTTGGATACTTTGGGACAATCATATTTTGTATTGCTGGTAGTGGTTTATAATCTGGAGTTGTTGCACAATGCGACGGTAATTATGATTATAGTGGTTTCATTGGAGTTACATGTACCATTTCAGTATTTCATTTGTTCATTATTTTGGTATACTCTGATAAAAGTGTAAAATATGACACACTGACGGATACTAAAAATCAGTTAGATGATTTTGTATTGCATGTGTACCCGAAGCATACCGTTGAGTGTCCAATCTCCAAATCACATGAGAAGTAGTTTGTACTCCTTCATGTAACTCCCCTCCATGAGAATTACCGTTATTACATTTGCATGTACATGTATCATTCTATTTACTGAAAATTAACTTTAAGATTAGGGAAAATTAGTGACATTTACGAAATTGGTCATAGAATTGGCCACGTAAACCGGGAGCAGTTTGAGTCGGATAACTCGCAAACTTAATCTTGAATATGTTATAAAACTTAACAGTCTCGTTTCATAGTAAAGTGGGATTTTTTTCTACTCTAGCTAGTTTGTTATACATGCGGACGTGGCAGGCATAGACTTCATAGCTGTCCACTGTTTCTGTATTGTGCTTGATAAAAATTTCACGAAGGCTTCCATTACTCACGCTTAATAATGGATACCCAATTATACTTGTATTTTGCCGTACTTATTGCTGGATCAGAACAGTGTTACTATATCTCTCATTTTAAGGACGTTGAAGTATGAAAATTTGTGTCAAAAACTGCTTTTAAATGCTGCCTTGAGGAATACAGATCTAGATGTACTTCCATTTCAATTTAATGTTCGTGTTTTCTTTGAAGTACATGTATGGTCATAGGGTAAAAAAAGAATATTATGTTACATATCAATATTGAACAACGGTAAGTGCATGAATACATGTACGATGTACTATGTGGCAAGGGTATCGCTGGACCTGTTTGTTGCAGTGAGTTTATCTTGATTTGGTACAGAAAAAAATCTATAAGTGATGTGTACAAGTTGATTAAAAATAGACAGTGGGCTGTAGGCTGTAGCTGTACCGGGTACCATGCCCTTTATTACTAACGTTTTGAACATGGCTACAGCCTTTATTTATTCACATAAGGGCAAGGTTCTCAAAGTTCCCCGAAATGAGCACTTTCATGCGTGATTAAGTTAACTCTGTCTTGTTCATTAGCTAAAACATCCCTTTTCCAGACAGCTTGACTATTCCCCACCCTCGAGCGAAGTGCCTTATACATGTTGCACCATACCTCGTACATATTCATGATGGAGAGCTTAACTCCATTGGTCCAGTTGTTACCCTTACCAGTTGATATTTTGGCTGTTTACCAGGTGCACATGCAAGGATCCCTGCACAAGTCAAATACAGGCTAGAACTGAACTGTTCCCTGGGAATAATCCACAGAACTGTCTCACAGGTTACGTACACATGCTTGAGCATACATGTACATGTAGTCCGAATGCACTCAGCCGCATGCATATATTCTGCCTTTTCCTTGCTCCTGAAATTTCCATGGCAACAAAATATGCTTGAGGTATGATAAAAAAAAATAACATCTTTTTATTTTTGGGTGGATAGTCAATTATAGCTTCCCTCATTCCAGGGAGTTGACTAGCAAGCGCCCTCAGGCTGGGCTCTGCCTTAGGAAGTTATTTGTCAGCATCCAGGTCCGGTACCTTCAGGAGGTAAAATCGACTATCCAATCTTAAAACCATGTTATTTTTGCATAGCCAACGTAATTGAATTTTGCAAGAGTAATCAGATCATGTCACTTGTTGACGTCAATGTTTGGTTTTATTACCGTTGTGAGTTTATTACTGTCCACGAGTTGCATATGCCAGTACAGCAGCGCTTGTTTGCAAACCGCTTTCGCGTCTCTTTGCATGCCTGAGTGCGTTTTGAAGTCAGTCAGTATGTTAGACCAGAAATGAGCAAGAGATGTGAAAGAAGGTTAGCTTGTATTTCCGTTGAAAAAAAATCTGCACACAAAGATGACAGGATGTTGTTGACTCGGAAGACATACGCTGTAAATCATGTATGTGTTAAGATCTGCATGTCATGAAGAGAAATGTACCGGCACCACTGAATGACAAGCTATTGTGCTTGATTCTACATGTGTGTATAAAAAGGTTGTGGTTGTCATGGTGTTGCTATGGCAGTGTCCATTGAAGTGCTTGCCTGATTTCATTCGAAGGTGGCAAAAATTAGTGATAACCCATGAACAAGGCCAGAACTGTGACACGCTAATGAGATTTTGGATTTCACCGTGCTGATCACTGGTAGATGAATATTTGAATTCTGCCGTTTGCTGATGTTCTGTGCCGGGGTAACAGTGATCCACCCACAAGAACAAGTCATTTTTAAAGTTTTAATGAAAACAATTGACAAAAAGATTACAAAGCAATGTACTTAAATTACTGTCTGACTGTGTGATCTTTAATGCCCACATTTCATGAAGTTGCTTTCTTAAATGAAAAACTTTGATAAAGACAAAATTAGTGACCAATTCAGTTTGTCAAATTCAGCAGCACTTCCCATGTCAGTGAACCCCCCCCTTATTCTAAAGATCGAACTGTGTGGTCATATTTTGTGTAATTTGTCTCACAGCAAGTCAAGTGAAAAAGAAGCGTGCATTTGAAAATGAAAAGTATTTACTTATGTGTGCACATGAATGAAGGGATGTCGTCAGACTGTATTGGGTGTCATGCTGGTTGCTAGGGTGATCCCTCGAGTGAATGTCCTGCCAGGGAATTAAGACGGAAAGAGCTTTGGCGACAACACTCCACCACAGTACTGTCCTTTAAGAGCTTGTTTGGATTGAAAGCCTCTCAACAGAAAATTCATTGGCTAATTCCTGACGAGTGACTCAATTTCTGTTTATGTGAAAATTCCTCACAGAGTCACATATACATTACATGTAATTTACACCATCAAAAAGAAAGGGTACATTGCAGAGCCTGTCACATCACAGTGATGTTCCTTTCATTTTGCACAAAGCTTTTTAAATCATTTCAAGCGAAATATTTAACCCTGCAGTTCTCTCGAGGCATTTCTTCAAGCACCAAACTGAATTCATTGTTACAAAAAAAACATGAAGCCCTTTTAAACCTCGTCGTTGGACATGACAGTGTTTCGTGTTGTAGAATAGATTTCATCCCTTTCCAGCATGATTGATTACATGATGGGGCTTTCCAAATATGTGCCCTGGAGTACAAGTAATGTTATTTTCTTTAAGTCATAACAGAGCAGTGTAATGAATGTGTGAATAAACATGCCATTGCATACACCAACGGGCCCTTTATGTTGAAACTATTATATGGGCATACCCTGTACGTGGTTTCTGGACACTTATTGCACATGTACATGTACAGCACTTGGTTACTTTAATAAAACCATATTGCGGTTGAAGGATTGAGAACTGTCAGGGTTAAAGTACATATACGTGTCTTCCTGACATGTACGTGCAGTTATTAAACTTCAGCTAGAGTAGTCGATCTTTGATTCTTGTACATAATGAAACATACAATGTGCCTACTTGCTAGCCTTTTTATCACGAAGGCATAAGTTTTAAAAGGGCATTTTTCCTTGAGGCACAGTCTGTCGCTTGTCAGTTTTTGCATTACGTTCATTTGCCGCGACATAAGATCCCGAGAAACTATAAGGGGGATGCTTTGTGATTAACCTTAGGAAATTTGAGCTCAGTGAGTGCTGTTTATTCCAAGAAACACAATATTCTAAGATTCGGACTTCAAAACAAAAGTTGCTGTTTTGAATTGCACCTGAAAGTCAGCTTCTAGGACTCACCCTCATTCGGCCAATTGCAGCCAGTGTGATGTGCAATGAACCAACAAATTAATGGTATAACTACATGTACCAAACCTTTCTGTGCATTGTGTTTACGTCTGCATAATTTGAAATGGCCTTCTTTCACCACATTCTTCAAAATGACAGCTTGCCTGAAAGAAATATTCCGCAGGGAGCTTTGTCCCATATAACTCTCTTTAAACCCAATTTGCTTTTTGACAATCACTCAGCCAGTTACTCTCTGGACAGCTGCAAATGTGGGACTGTACCTTCGGTGTTTTTGTTCAAGGTGTAGCTCGTCGAGCGAATCATCCTCCCCACAGGTTTTCTTGTTATCTTTTCTTGTTATCTTTGATGTGTGTCGCGCTAATGACAGTGACAGCAAGGATGGTCACACCAGTAATGTAAGCGTTTCACAATAGAGTGCCTCCAAGAGTTTGCAATGCGTTGCCAATCATAATGCGCGAAATCTGTTGACCCAACGGGCGTTTTGAAATGGTCGACAAATTTCGCGCGTTGTGATTGGCCAACGCGTTGCAAACTCTTGGAGGCGCTCTATTGTGAATCGGCGTATTGGTGGAGATGATTAGGACGGGGATGATACTCTTACAGTGACATCGGTTGTTGTACCACAATAATACTGATTGTCATGATAATCATGAGAATAGAACAGATAATGATTGGAATGCTGATGAGGATGATAGGCTTGACAGGAATGTGGGGAGGGCAGAATTGAAAGGATGTCGAGAATACTGGTGAATCAGATAATTGAGATAACGGTGATCTTGGTTGATTTTGCAATGGTAATCATGACTTTGTGTTTGTAAGGGCTTTGTTTGAAATTGTTTTGGTACCTGGTATGTTGGGTTGTTTGTTTGTTGGGGTGTTGGGGTGGGGGGGTGTTTGTTTGTTTGTTTGTTGGGGTGTTGGGGGTTGTTTGTTTGTTTGTTTCTTTTATCATGTGCATAGTTATTCTGTGATCATCTCGATCACCATTGTTGAGTGTGTGCTAATGCAAATGTGCTCAATGTGAAGACAGGTTGCTTTGGAGATGAACTGAGCGAAACCAAGTTTGATATGTTTTTTTGCACAGACACGCCTGGCAATCGGTCTTTGTGCCATTTTTACCCCCTTCCATACATGTACTTGACGATGATGCAGCCAAGATGCATGCGAAAAGAGAAACTCCACCCTTTGCAAATTTCCAATCTTTGTAAGCTTTCCTCTGCCGGCAAAGGTAATAGAATGATTATCTGTGGGGACGACAATACCGCAACCCAGGGAATCATATTATGGAAATGTTGTTACGCAGAGGTGTATGCCATTAGAGAAGAAAAGCCCTTGTGAGTGCCGGAGACGAATCCTTGTCCCAGACGTGAGCTGACAAGTCTGATTAGTATTGCCTGTTAAGTTGCAAATAGAATTACAAACTTGCAAGATGCTGGTAGGGATTACTGCCATCCATTTTAACTTTAAAACAGGCGCTCCAGTGGAACTGTAATGCACTCGTGCACTGACCTTATGTTAAGGTGAACGCAACAGAGCTTCACCGCTGTTCATCAATCAAGGACAAGATAGAATAACTACCACCTCATGAGACTTCAAAGTGGCAGGGCCCCCATTTAAATAGCACGGGGTCGTTGGAATTGCAAACATGTTGAAAGGCACCTTGATCAAACCCAGGATATCTTTTTAACGTCTCAACAGACGAGTGGACACAAGATTCATACTGAGAAAGATAGTTTGAAGATCTCTGCAGAAAAGGCTGGGGGCTTTTGAAAAATTCTTGAATCATTGGGAATTAATCAAAATCTTTTTTCTACATTTGGACAAAATAATGTCACTGTGGTTGTGTCATTTTCCTTCCATGAGAGAGAGAAAAAATACATTTTGAGTCACTTTGAAGACCAAGTCACCAACTCGAAATAGTTTAAAACCGTGAGGAACCTTTTTTGGTTACATGGCCTATCCAAATCAACAATCCTACTGTACTTTTGTCATACTTTAGTGAATGAAGCTTGACTGAAATTAGCGAAAAGTTACAGCAAGGCGATTGAATGGAATTTCATGACTGCAGAATCGAACAAGTTTAAAATCTTGGAACCAAAAAAGCAGCTGTATGAGACTGACCCATGAGGTTGTGCGTCTTGAAATGACCATTTATTTTCACATAGTGAGGGGAATTTGGTGGAACAGAAGTTAGAAGTCGGTGCAAGAGATAAAAAGACAGAGAGGCAGTTGAGAGAGTCGTGAAAGTCAGATGAAGATCAGCATGACATGACGAACAGACAGACGGGTATCACGAAACGAATTCTCGGCATTGGACAAATGCTACCTTTAACGGTTAAGAATATTATGCCCTTTCTTCCTCCCAGGAAAAAAATCGCCCTCTCATACCTTGTTTTCCTCTCTCGCAGGCCCATCGAGAGGTGTTTTGTTCTGTCCCAGGATACCTTATTCCAAGTGGATCTTGCTTTCAACTTATTTTTCTTGTTGTACTTTGTGCTGCGGGTAAGTCGCTCGCGCATGAGCATCTTGGCAAATAGGAAAGGGAAAGTGTAAAAGACGAATAAATAAACTTCAGAGTGTGAAATGAAAGTCGGGCCAAACGTAAACAGAAGTGAGCCTGAGAAATGCATGTAAACACTGAGCCCTGTTTCCTGTGAATTCTGGTTGCGAAGGAAAACTTATATTTGCTGAACTTAGTTGAGTTTAATCAACTTCCATTTCTTGTCAAGATGTACTTTGCATCGAGGAGATGTTAATTTTTAATTTCAGGTTTTGTCCTTAGACCTTGAAATAATTTCACAGTACCTGCTGTTTCATCTGACTCAAACCGGCCAACCGACCCCGGCAAGCTCGGTGGTTGAGTGCACTAGTAAGCAGAAATTCGTAGGTTTGAGTCCCAGTTTGCGATTATTTTTTCACGAACTTGTGGACAAACACTGAGAATACAGCGGTAATTAATATATGTCAGTGTACCGTAAGGCAAAACCTGTAATTTAAAAATTTCCATTTCTTTCTCCAGGTTGTTCAATCTGGCTAATATTAGCACATACAACCTGCCAAAAATCCTAAATCAACCAAGAGTAAACAAAAAAACCACGAAAGCAAAAACCAAGAAACAGCTCCCTAACACAATTTTGTCACTGGTGGGAAACCAAGAAAAAAGTATACAGAACCCACTTGACTTGGGGTCTGTGGATTTAGCCGGGGGGGGGGGGAATTTTGAGATAGCTTGGCCACATTTTTTTAGATCGATGCACCGGTACTGCGTGTGTTAGAATCTCACTTATACATTATGCACATTTTACTTACATGTATATCCACATGTACATTCAAATGGCAACCCTTTTCCTTTGTCCCCTGTCTCTCTCTGCAGTTTGTGGCTGCACCAGACAAGTTTTGGTTCTGGCTCACCTGGAATTCCATCGTAGACTTCTTTACAATACCTCCAATCTTTGTGTCCATGTACCTACAACGAACATGGCTCGGTAAATACATGCCATTTTGAGTTTAAAATGTAGCACAGGTACAAGTTTGCAAATACGTCGTTGTTTTCTCTACTTGTGTTTTGACCCAATACGTACTGTGAAAAACAGGGGTGTATTCCACTTGGAAGTGGTGTCAAATGTTATGATATTGCCCTTGTGTGCACAAAATCATGCAGGAAAAGATGCAAGAATCAGACTTTCACATGCGCAGTTGCAGCATTGAAGCTCGATACACAAACAGTATTACATACATGTGTTTAAGTTGGTGACCAAGGCAGTACAGTGTGTCAGGGATGAGATTTCTCAGCTTTTCAGCTGATTTCAGCTTTTTTCATTCTGGATTTCATTTTTTTTTTCTTCACTGGCTGTGTACATCAGTTTAGGAGTTTTTTCACAGTGCAGCTTCTTTACGCCTTTTTTTCGGCTATTTTCAGCTATTTTTTATTATTGGTCAATCTCATCCCTGAGTTTGTGCTCTTTCCATCGGGTTGGGAAGTCAAACGACATAGTACAGCTAAAGTGCAGCCAAGCTAGGTCTAATCTGAGGAGATGCCGCAGCTGAGGCAATGCTGCACTCGCGTTTTTTGTAAGCTTGATGCATGCGTGCTTTTGGTAATAAGCCTTTTGTGAGTTAAACTTGAATAAGATCTGGTCCACTGAGCTCTGTTCGCGTGAACATACATGCAACAATTTGAATTCTCCATACTAAAGACACTTGTTGTTATACCTTGTGATTGGGGGGAAGCGTTTGCTTTGCTACATAAGAGATGTCTTGCACCAATACACTGTTCGCAGTGGATAAGAAAGGCACAAAGGAACCAGTCCATTCCAGATACGGCAGTGGCAGTGCAAAAGCTTGCCCTGAATTATGAGGTACACGTATAGCAACAGTGCCTTTAGTCTTGGGAATTCAAATTGTTTTGTGCGTTCAGATAACTTGGTGTCCCGGATTTTATATAAATTTAAGTTGCAAAAAGGCTATTATTCACACGACCCTAATGGTTGAAGAGGCATGTCAAGGGCGTGCGATTGTCCACGAGCGTTGTGCTACCACAGACATGGCTTCTAATTCTGCGTACCGATTTACACCAAGAAGAAAATAAAATGTAAAAAAAGCCCCACCAAACCCCAGAACAAAATTCCTGCCAGTATACTTTGCACCATCATTACTAGCCACATATCTGTAGCTTCTTTTATTTGTTCACGTTATTAATGTGGCCATTTCACAGTAGTGCGCCACCAAGAGTTTGCAAGGTGTTGGCCAATCACAATGCGTGAAATTTGTTGACCCAATGCGCTTTTGGAAAGGGTCGACAAATTTCGCGCGTTATGATTGGCCAACGTGTTGCAAACTCTTGGTGGCGCACTATTGTGAATTGCCCGTATTGTCCATGTGTTTGGCTGATTTTAAGCAAGCTTTCCCTCATCAGATCTGGAGAGAGTCAAATTCAGACAACTTTCCTGCCAGTACTTTTGCATAAGTCTTCCCCTTCGGATACGTACTTGCAGCTCATGAAGGTTGTCTTTTCTACACGTGACCTTTTTTTCCCCCCCTTCCTCTGTCAGGTTTTCGTTTCCTTAGAGCACTGCGGATGATGCAGCTGTCCGAAATCCTGCAGTTTTTGAGCATTCTGCGGACAAGTGACACCATCAAGCTGGTCAACCTGGTCACCGTATTCTTCAGCATGTGGCTGACGGCTGCAGGCTTTGTTCACTTGGTAAATCAAAAAAAGAGTTGCTCATTTGCTGTTACTTTACTGAATCTGTTCTTTGTCTCAAATTTTTTTTCACTCTACACTTTTTCCAATTTGCCGACAAGCTGCTTGGGTGGCGTGCCTAGTTTATTTGCACTATTTCCTTCCCAGCACAAGGTAATATGTATACATTGTCGTTAACAGCTACATTCACAAAATTTAACTACAAAAACAACTCTTACCCTCTGCAGATTGCAGTGAGAGCACCTTAAAGTTATTAAAAGTCATCATTAGCGAATCAGAATGGAGTTATCAACTGTAGTCAAGTGACACCATTATGCCAAACAGATGCTAATTGAGGCTCATTGACTATTCAACCTGTCATTCGACCAGTCCACCGGGATGCTTCCGGTATCCTATAACCATGCGCTGCACGTTCACCCATCCTGTCCTTCCCCCCTCCCTTGACATTCAACGAGGAATGTTTGAATCATTACTGGCCACTCCAAATCGTTTCCCCCCTCCTCATCAGGTCAGCAGCTGAGGTCCTGCTTGATGAAGCAGTAAGCCTATCTCCCGGGAGCATCTTCATCATCTTGCGCTCAGCTGCACATGATGATTTGGTGTTCGTGCAGGGTTTCCAATGCAGTCAAGTCTCAGGGACATTAAATACTGGCAATCTGTAGATGCCTCAGCCGTTTTGAGACAGAGACAGCAAGGCCTCCCTTAATCTTACTCACTAGAATGTACACAAGTTCTACCTGTCTTTAGAAATTTCACTAAATCTTCTTGCACCGACTTTCATTCGTACATTCATTCTTATGCTGACTTTAAACTTATCGTTATGCACACAGCCTGTAAATACTAGTTAATTGAACAGCCGACTCATTCCTGTTGGTCACGACTGCATCACATGGTTGGCTTTAAAGCTGTTGACACTCCCAAATGGTTTGGAGCTCTCCCAGTTTGGTAACGAAATGTTGACTCACACCAGAGTTACGGCAAGGAGGGTGTTGCACAAAGCATGACGTTAAGTCCATGCACAGCATTGTTGGAAAAATATAAAAACTTGCGTTTGAACTTTTAGGCAAAAAAGTTATGGCAATGGAGAGTAGCTGAGGGGGTTGTTAAACGAAAATTTTCTAAATGAGAATAAGAGCGTGACGATTATCACATCACACTTTTACTCACAGCGTTTCATTGTATTCCTTTTCTTGAAATGCACATTTTGACACTTGGCATACCCAGTAGTACAAACTTTAGACGTGTAGGGCACTGTGCGTTCAGAAACCGTTCAAAGAAAATTGTCTGGAGGCAAAGAAGAGGTCTAAGTTGATAGGAAAACTGAGCATGAAACATGCGGTTATTTTGTATGAAAAACATGTTCCATCTCTGAGCCGTTTTAATGGCTCTGTCGGTGTTACTGGCAAGACAAATGCAGGAAGTGACGGGAGATTGTTGGGTGACCTCAAGCCTGGCCAGACAGTACACAGAGTGCTGCATGTTTTATTAAAGTGCTGTGAATGTGAGCAGAATGATGTGTATTCTGCATTAATCAGCAGCCAATGAAGTCTTAAGATACAGGCATTTTGTGGCACTTGACTGCTACTGTTAAGTGCTATGTAGGCTTTTGCAACATAAGGTGCCATCTTGTTCCATTTCTCAATGAGTCTAGATACAAGTACATTGTGCCTGAGGTGTTTCAATTTTCTATTGGAGCTGCCAAGCTTGACTCTTGCCAAATATAACAAATGCAAGCAAAGCTGTCCGAATTTACAATTGTCAAAATAGTTCTCTTTGACACGCCAACATGTACATGTATAGAAATGTGTTGCCCTCGGCGAATACTGTAAGTTTGCGTGGAAAAATTTCCAAAATTTTGGCTTCCCAAAAAACAAGTTTCCTGCCATGAAAATTTGGTTCTGGTTTCACCCTCGGCTGGTTGGTGTGTGTGTTTAGTTACATGGGTCGTTCCATGAGGTTAGGGCACAATTTGTGACAGTGTCCTTGATATACATGTATGGGTACGTTTTACCACCTGTCATGACCTGTAGAGTAGGTCATTTACTCTGTAAAAGTAACACACACCTCTGTATTCAGCCTTGCAAGAAGTATAATTTGGAATCCACATGCAGGGAAATAACTGTTCATTTTTATGGAACCCATGTAACAATGGACACCATCACAAATTGTGCCCCAACCTCATGGAATGACCCACATCACATTTTTACGTAACGCTGATATTTATCTGCTTACAGTTGCAATGCGAACAAAGCCAAGAGTGTTGTGACCACTTCATGAATGGGGAATTGGTGTTATTTTGCTATTTCAGTGGTTTACTCTGCTCATTTACCCTGCACCATTTCAAACCCAGGTTGAGAACTCTGGTGATTTCTGGAATGGCTTCAGCAATCCCGAAAACATCGATTACTGGACCTGTGTTTATATCCTTGTGGTGACCATGTCAACCGTCGGCTACGGGGATGTGACTGCAAAGACCACTCTGGGCAGGATTTTCATCGTGATCTTCATCTTTGGCAGCGTGGTAGGTTTTACTGTCCAAAGCAAAACCCGATTTTCACCAAGTAATAGAAAGGATGAGAAGGATTCCAACTGCTCTCTTAGATCTTAGTTGCACTTCGCTACCATCTTACAAAATAAAGATCGACAAGAATATAGCAAACTTTCACTTGATTTCTGTAAAGTTACTTTACTTGACAGTGTTAGCATGTATATAAATTCCAGCTCTCTCTGTGTCAAGCAGAGCACCGTGGACATAACGCTTTTTACAAAACTTCTTAAATTCTTGTAATTGTAAAGAGTTCCCCGGAGTATTGAAAAGAGTATGTCTTAGGACAGTTTGATTCAGTTAACCGTCAGTAGGGCTGCATCCGAATCGGTTGTCTAGTGCTAGGTCTAGGTCTTCATTCCATTGGAAATGTGTGGAGACGCGTAGACAATAGACCTAGCCGTAGCTCTGGAAGCCCGTTTCAGACATGGCCTAGGAACGGTTGAAGTTTTTCAGGTAGTCAACAATCAGACGTAGTCCATGCTTTCACTTCTTGTCATTCACTCCGCTGAAAAATTCTACACGAGAAGATTGAGGTTGGTTAGTGGTGTTACAAAGGCACAGTTAGCAGGAGGGCTCTTTGTCAGGACGATTCAGCAGTACCGGGTTAAGATTAAGATCTTATGGCTCAAAAATCAAACTAAGTATGAAGAACTTATGGAATTTTAGCATTCTGATAAACTGTATTTGTCAGCTGCAGGGGTGTTTCTCGTCAAAGAATAGCGAGTAATCCTCCACTTTTTCTCGTGAAATATCCTTTCCGAAATAGGCGATCTATACCAGCTACCTCCCCGAGTGCGCCGAGATCTTTGGAAGGAGGAAGAAATACCAGGGTTCCTACCAGTCAGAGAAGGGACGAAAGTAAGTAGAATTCCAGTACAGAGTATTGGTGAATCTAGACAGGCAGGTGGTGTATGAACTTGATGATCATTACAAGACTGGTCGGTTTTAAGAAAGCAGGAGGGGATTTTTACAGTGGTCTCATGGCATGAACATCACCGGATGCGTCCTTCATAATGATTTGTCTGTTCACCAGGAGAAAATTAGCAATGAAGACCCTGTAGAGCACGCATATTCATGAAGTCGTTGGTGAGTTATTAAAGTTCAAATAATGCATTTATAACGCGTAAAGATGCACCTACAATGCGTGCACAGAATGAATTGGGAAGGGGGTTTTGACAAGGATCTGTCGGCGCGAACATCACAAAATGTGCCGTTCATTGAGCTCATCACCTGGAGGAAACTGAAATCCACATGGGATATGTCTATTCATCAGGTTGATGATGAGTCATACTTGTCATATTTTATTTATCTTAAACTCCCGTCATGTATGCTGTGGTAATTTTTTTTTTCATAAATACTAAGAAGTGAACATTGTTAGACTGTTTTCCCAAATGATAAATTTAAAAGAGCCTTCCAGAATTGTTTTATAAAGGTTAGATAATTATGTTAGTCACAAATGCTCAATCCATCTTGAACTTTAAAAGTTTAAACTACGTTTTCCTACGGAGAATAAATATGATATGACCCTCCCACTTTGTACGCAATATATATTCCCCTGGGCAGAGTTCATGATTTTCCCCACCAGCTTTTCAGAACTACATGTAGCCCTCTGACAAAACAAATAGTTGCTTAGCAACAGGTAGACCAGATGTTTCTGCTGGCCACCTTTTGTTGAAGTGGAATAGTCATTAATTATGCCTGATTGCTATTCTCATTAGCATACTGGTTGGCTTGGGTTTCCCCCAAGGGCTTCACTTATTTCTAAAATGAGAGATTACTCTGCCAACAGGCGCTGCCACGGATGCTGCTCTGCTAAAAATACATGTAATATGAAATAATTTTAATCAAATAGCAATTCAAAATTATTTGGAATAACTTTCTACCCAGTTGAGAACATGTTCTGCTTGCATTAAAAAAAAAACAGAAAAAAAATCTGGTGGACAACTAGCAGGTGAGCATTGCACTGATCATGTTTGGCCCTTGAGCAAAAATCACAAAATCGAGCATAACTTCTCAAGGAAGGTGATAAAACACACCTTGGTGTAATTTTAACGGATTTTGCTCCAGAGGCACATGCTAAAATAAACATCCTTCCTCTCAAAAAACAATCAAAACCCATCTTGTTGAAGCAGGTGTTCTCAGAATGGTTTATCAGTAGCATCAATGGAACAAAGGGTAACTATTTAAGTAGCTGGTGTTGCATTTATGCAGTTCTGCCGAAGTATGACATAAGAGAGTAGGGTATTGGTTATCATTCAGAATTTGAAACAGGCAATTCTCTTCAAGGATATCTTCCCTCTGCATGGCTTGATGGTGTGACCAGGGGTGTGAGAATTCAGCTTTTTAGCCGATTTCAGCTTTTTTTTTGTTTAGATGTTGACCCTGAATTTCAGCTTTTTTTGTACACCTGGTCTGTACAAAAGTATGGCAACTTTTTACATTTCAGCTTATTGCCAGCTGTTTTCAGTTTTCAGTTCAAGTGGCCACTCACACCCCCCGATAGATGGGTTCATACTCCTGGTGAATGTGAAAGCAAAGCAACTTGGATGTCACGAAAAAATTGTAGCGAAATTCGCTTGAGCTGAAATGAACTCAATTTCTACGAATTTGCAGCACAAATATTCGATCTGACGTCACAACTTCGTATTCGTGCTTTCGTGCCAAGTACAGTACAGTACTCATTACGGTACAGTGGGCTTGTATTGTAAGCACAGTGTGTTGGCAGCCATACATTTATCACCTGTTGCTGTCTGTTTCTCATTAGTTTGATGCCTAGTATGATCAGCTCATAACCAGTACAAATTTACATCCACCGAACGTTTTTACTTTATTATCACGATCCTCCTCATAGCTTATGTACTTGTAATGATTGCATCTCTCTCTAGGGTCTTCTGCCCCGTGTAAGCGCAGCTAGTTTCCTTCCTTGGTTTCCTGCTCTGTGTTCTCTGTGATGATTGTCGGTTTCATCATGCAGCGATCGCATTTACATTATCCTTTCAGAATCCTAGTTGTACATGTAACTTGGCTTGCTAACAGAAACAAAATTTTTAAAAAATGGATGAAACATCATGCCATCCACTGACATGTAGCAACTTCACAAGTGAGGTACTAAATTTTATTGTAAACAAAAGCACAAGGAACAAAAATGGTTTTACTGGATGAGTCGCAAACCAGCATTTTTTTCTACAGCATGCATGAACAGTTATTTAGATTGGTAAGCATTTCTTATGTAACAAACAGGAAGCCTGAAATAATATTTGGTCAAAGGTCATAACACAGCTCAAGTTACAGGTAACCACAACGCTATTTAGTTATACCTGCATATACATTTATGGGAACCCACACCACCGGAAAAAAAGTAAAAGGACCCCTTTTTGTTTTGTATATTTTACTGCTGAAAATGTGCATTTGATGTTTTTAAAAAAAATTTTATTCCAATGAGAACACAATCTAGACAAACAAAAGCTGAAAGAACTAAATCCCACTCATTGCTTGGAAAAAATGTAAAAAGTTAAGAAAAAAGGGGTCCTTAACTTTTGTGAGTTTTGTATTTCAGAATTGTGTTTACTAGGTTGGTTTTTAAAAAGGCACCTGAATTATTTGAATCAATTCAGTTTTTCGGCCTACGTCAATTGAATTTTCACTTTGCCCTGATAAGAGCTTCTGAATACCTGTATATGTACATGTATCACAGGTGCACTGTGTGCTACAGCAATACGTATGCACGTTCAGGCTATCTCTCAATAATGATCAGAGTAGAGAGATGCGGTTCTGCAGCTGCAAACCTCTGCTTCTTATCACCGGTGCCCTGAACATGAAAATAAAAGGCAATCTCAGATGAAACACTGTGAAGCTTAAAATTCACAGGTTGTTCGAATGTTTTGTGCATAAGAGAGTCATGCGAAGCCGGTGATGCATTTTACATTGATACATTTATGTGGGACAATGATAATATTTCGGGACTTTGGTATTAAAAAGATAATGATTGATGCCCTGTCATGTTTAATAGTCAAAACATCGATGGAGTTTCACATGACACAATGTATCTTTGTGGGTGTTGTTGTGCATGAATTGTATTTTTCACAAGGAGTGGCTCTTTCATTGCTCAAGTGGCCAATTTACTGCTTTCCAATTCTGTTTTTAAACTCGTGCTCACTCCTGTTTCTTGTTCTGCTCTCAACAATGGTTCTGTTTTTTATGTCCGTCCCTATATGTGTGCATCGTGCCCTTTTGAAAATGCTCAATCCAGGGCCGATGTGTGTAAGCATTGTAGTCGAGAGAGGATTGTGTATGGATCAGTGAGCTGTGAAACATGAAGAAGTTAAGCGTGAAGATGGTGATAGGCTCTGTGGATTGTCAGTGTGTCTGCGAGGCTTTATCCAAGATGGGACCGTACTAAGGCCGCTTTCTAATACTCAGCTTCGTCTCCGTCTCAGACTTCCTGTAGGAAACCAATCCCCGATTGTGAGCCTGAAGCGGTCAAGTTAAATTGAAATACTGTGTAGTTTGGCTCTTTTGCATCTTACTTGATGTTTTGTGGCACTATCAGACTTACTATTGCACTTACAACCTCAAAGTCAGGAAGTAAAAAAACAGTTGAAGCCTGAGACGGAGCCCAAGTCGAGTATTGGAAAATGGCCTATATATAATGTATACACTAATAAACTCATCAAAATAGATGACATGTACCGGCTTTGTCACCTTGAAGTATGGTAGCCTATATGTGATGGGGTACATCGTAATCAGGAATAAGTCGCTGAGGCAGTTTTACACAATGGCTGAGTAAGGTGGGGATGGGGGTAAATGTTGAAAAAATCCATGTGGCGGTTTCTGTGTATTTTGGAAGTTTATGTATGAAAGGTTACCATCAACAAAATTGTAATGTGCACCATTTGAAAGCTTATGAAATTCTTTTTCTGACCGTGCACATACGTGTATCTCCCAAAGTCAATTTGTGACTTATTCCTGATTTCGATGTACCAGGTCACATATGTGAATGGTATGGAAACTCTTTCTGGAGAATGTGATATGTGTAGGGGTTTTAAAAAAAAAAGAGTTCATAACGAATCAATTCAGAAAGGCAATGTAATGCGAGATCAGAGCATGCATGCAGGTCGGCGTATTGCCATGCTGAGAGGGTAGACCTCGCATGTGCGTATTACCACTCCTAATTTTGGACATCTCTGTTGGAATACCAAACGGGCTCATCACTGGAAAAATCAATGTCAAATTGATGAATGTGTAGGCCATCTTCTGAGATCTGTTCTGCCAACTTCAAGGAGAGGTTCATATACATGTTTTTTCTGTATTTTTCAAATTTGAAAAAAAAAGTTTCGACAATTGTATTCTCCTGAAGAGGAACCCGTTTTTAAGGACAGTTTTCTCTGAAGAACAAGCAGTAAAACCAGATTTTAATTGTGTGATTTTTTCTGTCTTTAGGCACATCATCTTGTGTGGGCATATAACGTACGACAGTGTTGCCAACTTCTTAAAGGACTTCCTGCACAAAGACAGAGATGATGTCAATGTTGAAATTGTTCTGCTAGATAAGTAAGATATTGCGCCATAATCACACTATGTTTTCTATAAGTTCCCTGGATGTTTCCTAGGAATTCTGTCAATAGCAATCGTATTCTTTGAATAGCTTATGAACTTTTGCATTGAATCAATGGGATTTTTAGCAATGTACCATCTGATACAAATGAACAAGTTACTCAGTATTAACTCGTCCAATTCGCTAGAGCAACACCACGGTGTAATTACATTTAGATCCAACTACATGTATGTGGCCCTGCTCTGTGAAAGTGAGTAATAATAAGTCCCCAGGGCCACCTTTGAGTTGCTGGCCTTTCAAAGAATCTTGCATGATGGGAATCGATAGAACTGTTAACATTGTCAGCCACGCAGTGTCCTTCGCAACAGATTGCCCAAATGAGTGAGGTATCAATGCAGGAAGCTCCGCTTGATCATCTGATGCACACTGGGGGAAGAAAAATGGCCTTGCGTCTCATTTTCACAGAGTGGGTCGTTTATCTGCAAGATAAATTGCGCAGGATTCGGCCATGATTTAATCAGTAGGCCTCGTATCCCTGAGAAGCGTAAGTCCAGATGAGTTGAATGTAATTTCATTGCATCTCAGTCTTTTCAGGCCAGAATTTTGTTACTGATACGCTTTGCGAAGCAGGCACTAGAAGCCTCATCAGTGGACCTGCAGAAAATGGTTGTCATTTGAGCCAGCCACCAAGGAGGCTCTCATCAGAACTCCTCTTGTTTCCGTGTCATGTTTCATGAGAGCTTGTGAGTTATTCCTCCCGTTTTTTCCCCCCATCTCTGGAGCAGTTCGCAGCCGGATCTGGAACTGCAGGCATTGTTCAAGAGGCACTTCACCCAGCTGGAGTTCTTCCAAGGGTCCGTCCTCAACTCCGTGGACCTAGAAAAAGTCCGGGTAAGATAGCCAGTAACCTTAATGTCCTCTCATTGTGCATGGTGGTTCTTTCCTTCTTATCAAGTTACGTGTGCTTGACTTATCCTTGGGGAAATAGGGGGATGCCAAGGGTTTGGATTGAGTAAATGGAGACTCAATATTCAGTTTCTGAAAATTAGAAAAAAACAGGTTTTGTCTATCGTAGGCAATAGTATGACATGCAGGTAAGCCTTATCACCATACCCCTCGGCACCATGTCAGATACATGTATGGCATTACAGCAGCATGACATTCACCAATGGCGCACTATTTCAAGTACCAATAACTGAACAGTGGCTTCGTAGCTTGACATATTGGGAAACAAAAAGTAGCATGCACTTTGAAATAACATGTCTCATACACAGATTTTGTCTTTGTATGATGGTAACTGTATTGTTTTGCTGGTACCGATAGCTTCACCAAAATAAAAATCATCTCGGCCGATGTAGTCTTGCAGATACACTAGAGATTCAAATAAATCCTCTGAGGTGTTTATTCCATGAGGTTGGGGCACAATTTGTGATGGTGTCCATTGTTACCAGAACCAAATTCTTTTTTGGGGAAGGAGCAAACTTGTTTGGGGAATCAAATGGTACGTAACTTTACCGACCTTTCTGAGGAGTGAAGCTAAATTTGGGGGACTTTCTAGTTCTTTTGGAAGGAAGGGAAGGGACACTTTCTGTTCCTTGTCGGGGGAGGGGGCATTGCCCCTGTTGGCCCCCTGGACCTTCCGGTGGGAAGTATTCTTGAAAGTAATGGTCAAGGAAAAATGTGTGGCTAGGAAAAAAAACAAATTGGGTCACCATGGTTACAGAGACAACCAAAAAGGCAGTACTCTTCTGGAATTGATTTTCGATAGTTTCCCAGGCAAAAAGTGTGTTATTTTACAATTAGAAGATCCTTGGGATATGTTGAATTAGGGGATACAGAAGTTGTCACCTTGACCATGGGAAATTACCCACATATTATTTCTTTAAGTTACCGAATGATTTGCAGGCAAAATGTAAACTCGGCAGGCTGACCCAGATGTCTGGCCTTGTGGGTAAGATGCCCCACAAACCCCCAGTCAGCATTGATCACTTGGGTCAGCTGACTGGAGCAATATTGACTTTTTCATTGGGATGCTCAGATGATCAGAGAACCTTAACCCTAACAGTACCGGACA